AGATGATTAGTTCTACTAACACTGACAAAACTTAACAGGTATGACAGTCTCAAACTGTAAGACTTAAAAGTGAATAAAATGTACAAGTAAATGAAACACTTTTAAAAGGCAAAATGAAAATGGAAATTAAAATACTAAAATAAATACCACAAAATATGTCAAGAAAATCAAAGATTGCATACATCAACTAAATTTAATCAAAATGTTGAGCTGCACGTAAAAAAATCTCTGATTGTTGAAATGCCTTGTTTAATTAAATGTCTGCTATAGACTTAATTCCTGCAGCAGATCATACAATTGCCTTGGTGTGTTGTATGACTATGTATTAGGGAATGCACCGATCCACTTTTTTTACTTCTGATCCGATCCCGATACCTAAATCTGAATATCGGCCGATACCGATCCAGTTCCGATATCATGATCATCATTGATTTTATATGACGCTGTAATAATCTCCTCTCAAGTACAATGTGTACAAATATATGCATTCATGTCCAAAAAGGCAACTTGAGGTAAGTTTTATTAATGTTGGATACGTTTTAAAGTTAGAATTAAATTCTGCTAACACAAAACATGTTTCTTTTTATTCCTAGTTTTAAAGTGGATATTAAAGTGATTAATTTAAGTGATTGTTCAAAGTTATTTTATTTTATTTTTTAAATAAGGGGCAGATATAAGATTTTTTTTTTCTTCTTTCTGCACTCTTTTCATTTAATGTTTTCTTTTTGATGATTTTTATTTTTATTTTGTTTCTTTTAAATGAATGAATAAATGAATTAAATTAAATAAAATGTTAAATGGCTTCAAGCTAAGTTCTTGGCATAAACCAACAGACATGTTCCTGTTTTTAGTATTTTACATCACTTTATAATGTAGCTGTTTTTGTTTTTAATATAATTTTCAAATCATATGCTTTTTATGATTGTTTAGTGTTGTACTGATAAATATCTCCTGGAGGGTAAACTATATCTTGGCTGCAAGTATCGAGCTGAGAAATCCTTCGTTTTCTACAACTGATAGTGGTTGGTCATTGATTATGATGAAGTTTAGCAACTTCTCTGTAAACATTTGAGCTCCGTGGTTTCAGCAATGTCTTCTTCTTGTTCAATCCGAAGCAGGCAGCCTGATTTGGGGCAGCCGAGCTCAAGTCTGTCCTCCTCGGAGACGGGCAGACTGAGCGGGGCAGATTGGACGCGGTTGACCGGGGTCGAGTCGCAGTTGTGGGTTGAGCAAAGAGTAGTGCCCCACTGAAGCCACGGAGCTCGAATGTCCATCGTAAAACTAACTTTACCACGGTTTAATGTGGCGCTGTGGCTCTGCCGACATTGCACATTGCTGTCTTGTTTTGTGTGTTTCTAGTGTAAAATACTTCCACACAGCGGACATGTTTAGATGAAAAGTTTGTTAGCTGTTAGCCACAGTGCTGCTAACTCAGTCCTCACATTGTAGCTGGCTGCAAACTATGAACTGGATTTCCTGAATGTGAGGTGGGTCTTATTACTCTGGGTTCATGAGACACGCCACCGTTCAGGAAATCCATTCCATAGTTTGAAGCCAACATGCATCATGGATCGGAAATATCGGCAGGTGGATCGGAAAAATCTGATACGTAAAATACGGATCGGCCTCATCCCTATATATATATATATATATATATATATATATATATATATATATATATTTTTTTTTTTTTTTTTCATTTATTTATTTTTCTTAACACAAACACACACAAAGAAAGAACACAGAACAACTGTTCATGAAAGAACTGTTCATGGTATATCTATTATTTTCCAGAAGAGATACATGACTTCTCTTATCCAGTGTTCAAATGTGTGTGTGTGTGTGTGGGGGGGGGGGGGGGGGTTTCTCCTTTCCTCTGCACAAAGCACGTCTCCTGACCAGAAGAAAGCCAAATGCAATCACATCCTTCTCGTACTTGCTGAAGGACGTATCCACAGGGACCATCCCGAACAGTGAGATGAGTGGTGATGGGTGCACAATTTTCCCACATATCACAGAGAAGGTGTCAAAAGTAGATTGCCAAATGGTCCGCAGTTTGGGACAGAACCAGAATGTATGCAGGAGTGTAGCTGGTTTTTTTGCATCAATTACATGCAGGGTCCAAGTCGACTTTGATCTTGGACAATTTGTCTTTGGACCAGTGCAGCCGGTGCACCACCTTGAACTGAACCACAGCATGTCTCAGACAGATGGAGGATGTATAAATGTTCTTAATGATCTTTCACCACCTTGAGTCTGATATGGATTCCTCCATTTCCCATTTCAGTTGAAGAGAGTCCAAACTGGGTTCATGGTATGAACTGAGTAGTGTATAAATCTTGCTATGGGCCCCCTTGGTATCAGACCTGCATTCCAATATCTTAACTACAAAATGTTTAGAGGGGTACAAAGGAAAACAATCAGAGATAAACCTCACAAAATGCCTTAGTATTTAATTAATTAGTCTGAAAACACTTATTGGATGTACATCTGCAACTGATTAACTTTCAGTTTGTTGTCAATTAGTAGGTAATAACCAGATGTGTAGTGCTTTAATTGCAGTCTATGTTGTTAGTCTTATCTAAGTCAGATCCCTAAAAGAAACCCTGCTTTTTTTAATCTAAATTGTAGTACCAGCCCCAGGTATGTGATTATAGCAGAAAGGCAGTATTTCTTGAAACTGAACAGATGAAGGAATCTTTATCAATCAAAATCCAACACAAAGGCTGCAAAATACAAAACAGAGCAAGACAACAAAAACCTCAGAAAAACCCAAGAAGCTCAACCAAAAGTCTATAAAACAGAAATGTATCTGTCAAGTTTTTTTAAACATGCACAAAACATAGATTTTTTTATATCAGTTCTCCACACACAATTGTCAAAAAAAAAAAAAAAAACTTTGACAAGCTTCTTTACACTAAATAAAAAAGGGCTTTTGTTGATGATGACAACACAATATAAAGAATGACCAGACTATTCCTTTAAGACAGCGGCTATATTTTAGCCTTTGTTGGCAGGTTTCTGTGTTAGGTCACATGTTCAAGATCAAGGCTGTCCAAAGTGTGGCCCCAGGACATTTACGGCCTTCACACTGGTTTCTTGCGGCTGCGACTGCAAAATAAAAATGGTATGACTTTGCCCAGCGAGCTAAAGAGACATGAACATGAACACCTTTTACAAATTTGAAGGGCAGCATTTTATTTTTTATTTTTATGTTGTACAGAAGATGATAGGAAACTTTTTTTTAAATGTGCAATATCAATTACAATACAGGTTTTTCATCTTTAATTACCATGTTTATTATTTTTATTACCATTTTATGAAAAAAAAAGAAAACAAACTATTACTGACTTTTAGCAGAAAAACATTCCTAAAACGTGGCTAAATACAGCAGCATAAAGCAAAGATAATTACTATTGATTTAAACATTGACAGAGGTAAGATTGTACCTCATTCAGTGAATATGGGACAGGAATCAATCAGTTTTACTGGTGTCCCTTCAAACCTAACCTTCTTTGAATTAGTTTTAGTGACAGCCAGCCGAACACTTCTCAGTGCTTCAACTAACCTTTTAAAACTTTTAGAACTCTCTCAGGTGGCACTGAATGTGTAATCCCACAAGATTCCCAGGTCAAGTGTCCACTGCGATGCCACACAACACATTTTAGTGACATTTTTCAAAGAAAAGTGACTCATTATACACTTTTCCTGCTAAGAACAGATTAAAATATACTTTCTAAGCACAAGAAAACAAACAAATGACTAAACAAATCAAATAATTCATTGCTTTCCTTACAATAAGTCTTTTATGTTAACAGTTTAGCGCTTTTGCACTCAAAATGAGAACACTCCTGTGTTTAATATTATTAATAAAACTAATATTGTCAATAATATTAATACTGTCCTAATATTTGTAACACTAATATTTTTTTTACTTGTTGCTGAGAGTTTCAATAAATAAATAAAATTAATCTCAAGGAAAATGTAAAAGTTTTTAAATCAAAATTCAACGATTTGCAGATTCCAAGTACCGTATTTTTCGGACTGTGAGGTGAAATATCAATGAACGGGTCTGTTTTCATAATGCGCACCGGATTATAAGGCTCGTTAAGAGAAACTAAATAATTTTGACAGATTTTTGAGCACCGTGTACCACATCAAATCGGTTCGAGGTCAGTAAGCACAACCAGAATTAATACATAAGGTGCACCGGGGTATAAGGCTCACTGTAGATTTTTGAGACAATTATAGGGTTTTAAATGCACCTTATAGTCCGAAAAATATGGTAATTTTAATTGATGCTTTTGGCCCACATGTCAAATAGTTTAGATGCCTCTGGTTCAGAATTATATATTTTTTTTATCTCTTTGTGTCTTAAGATCTTCTACAGCTTTGTCAGCTGTTGCCTCACGACATAGTCAAGTGTTAAATTACTATGGGAACAAAATGACTCCTTCCAAGAGGAAAAAAGAGTAAGAAAAGCTGATATTTGTTAGTTGTAGTGAAAAGCTTTGCAGTATATCATTAGACTGAAGAGGCCAAGCAGCTAATTCTAGGGCTCCTTCATGAAGATGGACTCCTGATTACACTGCACTTTTCACTGATCTGTCTCAAAAACACACAATGATGAGGTCCTCTTTCATCTGCTGCTCTCAGTACAATACCGTTTGAAGAGTAATAGGAAAAAGATGTTAAAGGTTTTTATTTAAAAGACACCTTTGGTGGTTATTTTTTCTTAGTTGCTTTAAAACCAGTCAATGTGCAGCACATACTGTCAGCATGATGCTACTGCAGAAGAATTGAAGCCTTACCATGTGTGTTCATTTTTCGTTTCAGTGTCAGTTGGTTACGAGTACGAGTTGTGTCCCGGTGTCATCCACTGGGAAAAGAGGACCGCTTTGATGCAGGGCTTTGAACTGGTGCCCTCCAGCCTCGGAGGGTGGTCCCTGGACAAACATCATGCCTTCAACATACAGAGCGGTGAGGACAACTCTCCATGCTATTCAGCCCTAACATTAAAAAAAAACCTGTACAGTTTCTCTGTTTTCTTGTATTTGAGTTGGGGGAAATGGTTGGATGTTCAACAACCACAAAATGAATTATACATTTAAAATGCATGTATATTTGTCTACTCTGTAAAATACGTACATTTCTATTACTGGGTGCCATAATAGCTTTGTGGTTCTGTAGTCAGTGCCATGATCTTGTAAACCCAAAACTGTAAGTTTGAGCCCGAGTTGTGTTTGAAAGAGCTTCTGACATAAATATATATATTGTGCCCTGGTGCAAGTTAAGCTGTGGTGAAAAACAACAGACATTTCTGTTCAAGACTGATGGATGGATGAGATGGATGGATGGACAGACAGACAGACATACAGACAGATAGATGGACAGATGGACAGACAGACAAATGGATGGATGGATGGATGGATGGATGGACAGACAGATGAGACAAACAGACAGATAGATGGATGGATGGATGGATGGATGGACAGACGGATGAGACAAACAGACAGATAGATGGATGGATGGATGGATGGATGGATGGATGGATGGATGGATGGATGGATGGATGGATGGATGGGACAGACAGGCAGGAGGGACAGCTAGCTAGCTAGCTAGATAGAAAGACAGACAGACAGACAGACAGACAGACAGACAGACAGACAGACAGACAGA